GGGGGGGGGGGGGGGGACGGGGGCGGCGGGGGAGGCTCGGCCGCCGCGGTGGCTGCCATTGGTAGCGGCCGGGAGGGCAAGGCTGCGGCGGGACGGCCCCGCTACAGCCCCATTGGGCCCGGGCGGGCTGGGGGCCGGTCGGCGGGGAGGAGCCGGTGGGAAGGGAGGGAGGGAAGGAGGAAAGGAACGCGGCCCGCTTCTCGGCTCCGGGGAGGCCGCCGCTTTCGCATCGCTGGGGCGCAGCTCCCCGCCATCGCCGACCGGGCTTTTCTGAGGTAAGAGCCACCAGCCCGCCCTGAGGCAACCCGGCAGCCGCGCTGAAGCCTCTTAGCGGCCCAGCCTGCCGGGGAGCGGGGGTGAGGGTGGGCAGGGCGGCTGCGTGGCAGGGCCGGGGCTGATTTGCCTCCCTCGCTTCTCCGCCTTTCCTTCTCCCTTCAGCCGCTGCGCGGGGTTTATCCTCGGCCTGGCCGCTCCGGTGCGGCGGGTGGGGCCGGGCCGGGCCGGGCCGGGGGGCGCCGCCGCCGCCGTTAGGCCGCGCTGCCGGTCGTGCACAAAGGCGACGGAGGAGGAGGAGGAGGAAGAGAGGAAGAGAAGCCTCCGAGCTTCCCTCAGATCTCTTTACCCGACCCTCCTCCGTCGCAGCCGGGAGGAAAAAGGAAAAGACCCCCTTCTCTGCCATCCCGGAGGGGCTGGCACCGCTGGAAGGACTGGGCCGGGCACACCGGGCTTTGCTCAAGAGGCTCAAAAAAGCCTGGATGTGCACAGAATGGAGCCGGCCTGCCTCAGGCAATCCCCAATTAGCAAGGAGCGGCAGAAACCTCTTTAAATTGCCGCTGATGTTTAGGTGTCTCAGTCTCCGTGGCATGAATCGGAGGATTAATCCAAAATCCCAAGCAATTTGATGCATCAAATCAAATTCCACTCTCAAAAGACCCTTTTTTTCTTTTCTTTTTTTCTTTTTTTTTTCCTTTTTTTCCCCATACTGGCAACGGTTTGGCTTTTCAGGTCTCTCTCTGCAAGTCAAGAGTAGGAACCTGATCTTTAGCTTCTGTGATGTGAGATTACGTTGTCACAGATTTAAAAAAAAAAAAACAAACAACAAAACGTGATTTAAGAGGAGCTGAACGTACAGAAACCTGCAGTGCTCCCGTGTCCGTGGGGCTTGGAAAGCACACCAGGCAAGCGCACTTAGACGTGTTCAGAGTTTTAAATTCCTTTTTAAGTAGGTTTAACCCCCCCTGAGGCAGCAGGCGTGCCTTCGCTCTCTTCCGGGTTTCTTTTTTTCTTTTTTCC